AGACATTTGCAGCATCACAGTCAAACGGATTTTGAAACAATCTAATTTCCTGAGCACTGGAATCCAAATCAGCAAATCGTTTCCGAAATTGTTCTTTCAAACCTGAAATGATTAAATTTGCAAACGAGGAGGAAATTCTGCTTCACCCTTGTTATGCAACTCTGCAAAGTTACGATTTTTCACTTGGCTTTCCAGAAGTATCAGCTTTGCTCTGAATGCCCTGATAAGGGCAAATAAATCACAGACTTAAGTTATTTTCACCCTGCAACTTTAAATTCAAATGGTTCATATGGTTCACCAGATCAGCAAAAAATGCTAATTTCCAAAGCCACTCCGTATCTGATAAAAGTGNCTCGGTAAGAAATATATCAGTTTCATTCCTGAGCTGAAAGAAGCGCGAAAGAACCTTTCCACAGCCAAGCCATCGAACTGCAGTATAATATGTCAGGTCAGTAAGCTCGGAATCACATTTACCAGTGCTCACTGGAAAATTAGTTCAATTGGCGCATTTCTCCACAGTTCTTTCGCGGGCCGCATTTGGCCCGCGGGCCGTAGTTTGGAGACCATAGGTCTAGATAATGTGGGACTCTCAACGTCTCACAACCCTATGGGCCTTCATGGCCTGTTACAGAGATAGCTTTACTTTTACTTTTACTGATACAACAGCTTCTCATGTGGGGCAGTGAAAGTTTGTTGTGCAAGAAGAAATGCTAGTTTGTTTTTTATTCTTACGTATGATTGCCCTCCGTCCACACAAATGAATGGTTTACACGTGCATTGAATGAAAAGTTTTACACTGTACTTCTGAATGGCAGCGGCAAATTCGAAGTACTCCGTGTTGCATTCCCAGGGGCGTCGTCCTGAAGTATTGTGGTGTCATAGAAATTCATGGTGTTCCAGCGAATCCGAGGAGAACATTCCGGGGAACGTGTACGTTCAAAGGGTTCCCAGTAAATTTCTGGGCTTGTATTTTGTAATTTATACACATGTTACTAGAATGTTGACACTTTCTGGTACCCCCACCTATATCTTCCAGTCGCTTTACGAGTTTCGTGAATCCCGATAATTTCTCTGCGTAAGGTATATCATAAGGCCGCGCCCTAGTTCAAGCGGTTAGTCGCTGGCTTCCCATCGCGGCGGCCCGGGTTCGATCCCGGGCCTGGTCAAGTGGGATTTGTGATGGACAAAGTGGCGCTGGGCAGGTTTTCTCCGAGTACTTCGGTTTCCCCTGCCAATCTTCATTGCACCAAATGCTCCACAATCACCCTCATCAATCATTTGGGGCTGGTACAATAGGCCAGAAGTGGCCGCAGTACAAGGGACTTAGTCCCACCCCACTAGCAACAAAAAGGAAGGCATATCATCCGTAACTTTGACAGGTTGAAAGTGCTCAGAGTTGATATATGAGTAGGATTCTCGTGTCAGATATCCACAAGAAATCTTTCCTTCATAAACTGGGATTTAGATTACCCGAGCGGGAAACGCATCTTAGGTGAAGAAGAAGAAGAGTAAAACTACAGGAATATGTACGCTTTAGATAATCGACTTGTTGCAGAAACACCATTATCTTTATAAATGAGTACTAATTGACACATAAGTTGGCAATACGGTTGGGTCTTCATTTGTTTTATTGGCGATGGGTGATATGTTCGTTTTATCTTGACGAGTGTTACTGTTCAAGTCGATATGTAACATAAAATCGATATGGTTATCTGAGATGCTATTCATAATTCAATAGTTCGATAATTATGAAACTGTCAGACAGCATATTCCTGTTTAAATTAATTGCGTTTTGTGACACATATATGTGCATGATTAATTTATAAAAACGGACATGATGATGTACGAGTACATACATATGTATGCCGTATTACTTTCTTCGCAATATCGATCTTGTTGCATGTTTATACTCGCACAGTTTTCGCTGGATTTACGAATTTTAGACTTACACGCTGTTTTCAACTAACATTTAAAACAACAGTCCTTAAAACCGATTTTTTCCCCTTTTTAAGTTGTGTTTGAATCCGAATGTTTTGTTTATACTTACATAATAATGGTCGTCCAAGTGAATTACTGAGAAACATGTTGGATTTTACTGTTTTTGTAGAACATTTCTTTGCCTTTCACAATTAAATTTTGTTTGTATACTTGCTTACCACTTACATACGTACAGTGCATTGACATACTGTTTACATATTGTGGCGTGTTGCCTGTGAAACGCGACAAATGACTTCATGCAGGTCACGGATTTAGCGAATAAGTTTATTGAACGCTCACTTTTACACCAGCGAGTACATTTATTATCACTTTTCTTCTTGCACCGTTAATCTCGTTGTCGTCTTCGCAGCTGTTACTGCACAATGTACACTTTACGTCTGTTCTCGGCGGCTGCTAGACTTCAACTGTTCACTGTCACTAACTGTCTGGTCAAATTCAGAGTCAAAGTCACACTGCGATTGACGGTCAGTCAGTCAATAAGTCTTGGTGTCGCGCCCCATCTGGGGCTTAGGACCAGATATTTATTACTGTTTGACAATTACAGTCTTTTTTTTTTTTTGGGCGCCCTCTCTGACGAGAGGACGGGTCTGTCTTTTGTATATGCTGCTGGTCTTGCCAGCACAGTCTTTCTCGGGTCCGAACTCCTTGGTACTCGAGACCATATATTATTGTCTCAGATTTAAGACTTCCCTTTCCGTCGCCTCCTACGACTCGCAGGGTCACGGTGGAGGTACTCGACCCCGCCTCCACACGGGTGATGTATAACTGTCTGGTCAAAGTCAAAGTCACATTGCGATTGACGGTCACGGTGGAAGTATTCCACCCCGCCTCCACACAGCTGATGTATAACTGTCTGGTCAAAGTCAAATTCACATTGCGACTGACGGTCAGTCAGTCAGTCTTGGTATCAAGCCCAATGTGGCCACCACGTTCACCTGACCTCACTTCGCTCGATTTCTTCCTCTGGTGTTATGTGAAGGACCGTGTGTTCATGCCTCCAGTGAATGACCTCCAAGATTTACAAGTCCGCATCCGTGAAACGATTGCTACTGTACCAATGGACATGTTGGAAAGAACGTGGCAAGAAATTGAATGCAGATTGGATATTGTTCATGGTACCATGGTGCACATGTAGAGGTTTATTAGTGTGTCAAAATTTTTTGAGTTCTTGTATTTCCTGTAGTTTGATTTTCCTACCATTCATACTTTCTGTTCTAAGATCTAATAAAATGTGGGAGGTTTGAATGGAACATTCTATATTTTAACAGAATTCTGTGATGTAGAAATTTCGGCTAACTCAGCATTAAAGTGAGTGTGGCCACAAAGCATCTTCTCCAAGGACGTTACTAATAACGTTTTTTGTTTCTGTCCATAGAATTTTTGTCAATCGCAGTCTGCACCTGGAGAACATCAAGTTCTATGGGTTTGATATGGATTATACATTAGCAGGTGAGTAAGGTACAGAATGCCGGTTAATGAAGAATTTTGGGTCAGTGAGTGAATAGTATGCAAGTTAATCAAGAAACATAACCAAAAACTAGTTCAGTATGTTTGGCAGCGAATAAAAATATTTTGAAGTCTCACAAGGCTGTTTCATACATTAGAGATACAGATATGTAAAAATTAAGTTAAAGTTGTGACTGTACATAGTTGAATATCATTCCACGAGGACGTATGAGGGCCTGGAGGTACAGTCCCACGCGTCCTTACTCTTGATACCTCTTTCCTCCGGTGAATGAACCCTTCGTACTCGTTGGATAGGAAGCTGGGTAGGCCCAGAGCCGGTGTGAAGATGATAGCGTAGACAGACGCCCTTGTCGATCAAAACCCATTCTTCCAGCCCATAGGCAGTCACTGTAGAGACTAAGCGGTTCATATACATATTTGCATTTGTCTATAGATGTGTGCCTGTCTTATTATTTCCTTTGTTTAATGTTCAGGCCACCAGCTGTAAGAATGCCTCCGTTTATGAATTTATGTATTTGTTTACTCAAAAACATTTATTTTCCCCAACAGTGGGGTTACGTTCTTAATCAGGTATTTTCAGCGGTAAACTTGGCTCTTGTGGTCTTTAATTCCTTTGAAGTAATAGGACAGTTTCATATACTGTCTTCGCTCACTTGGAAACTGGGATCGTGGGTTTGAATCCCACTCAGGGAATGGATGTTTAGTTTGTGTGTGAGCGTTTTTCTGTGTTTGTGTACAGGTAGAGGCCTTGCGACGAGCTGATCATCCGCCCAAGGAGTCCTACCGAATGTATAAGATCTAGAAAAACCGAAGTGAACGGAGAAGTTCATGGAGGTAGGCCTAGGCCCACTGGGGCTGTAGTGCCAGGAAAAAAAAAATAGGACAGTTTAATAACATAATGTATGTAAACAAACAAACTATGGCATTATATAAATTAAAGCATTATTTATTTAGAATGATATTGAAGTACATATGTTCCTAACATGCATATAAGTGACTTTAATTTAATGACGAATGTGTATTGATGTTCATTAGAGAAGGAAGGTTGAGTGGGATGTTAAATTATTTGTGCCTTGGTTTACTTAACAACGCTGTATAGCGTAGAATGATATTATGATTATTGTATAAGGAATTGGAGAGGATATGGATGGAAGCAGTCATAGCTCAGTTTTTACTGTTTTCCCGAAGGAACTGAGGAATCCCACAAAACATCAGTCAGGATAGCCAGTGTCCAGGCCGAAATTTGAACCCAGGATCTTTTGAACACAGAGTGGTACCCTCTCAATGGTGACATTCTGTGGGTAGGATGTTTAACGGGGGAGAGATGTTCGATCCTTTTCCCCAGTAACTATTGACTAGCTCAAGCTAGTTGAATTTCATTCTTGCAATGTTTAACAGCTTCCTCTGCAGAAATGAGTTCGCGGTCACTTGGTCGATATAGTTCGCTTGCGGACTAAAACCAGAGTTTTTTTTTTTGTTTTTGATCTGTCTTGTTAAGAGAAGAATGTGGACTGAGAGTGCTCGATAACAGGTTCTTAGGAAGCATATTTATGCCTAAGGGAAGGATTGAATAAGAGGCTGGAGGAAGGAGCTTTGTAGCTCATGTTCTTCACCAGACATTATTAGAGTGATATGATTGATTGATTGATAGATAGGTACAAAATTATTTGTCAAAATTGTAGACATCATCAAAAAGTAAGTGGAATAAGTGTCACTCCCGCTAGACACTCAAGTGTCTAACTTGAGTAATTAGCAAATTTTTCTGCGTTCAAGGGAAGAACTC